GCATTAACAAATAACATCACGCATAGCCACCAGCACAAACTAGCACATTATCTAATAACATCACGCACAGTAACCAGCACAAAATAGCGCAAATAACAGATAACACCACGCACAGTCATCGGGACAAACTAGCTATTGTTTATGACCGTACACGATATTATTATTTCACAGTGAAGGTGCCCCTTCTCGTCGAACAGAAATCCTCCATAACATTGACCAACTTCGTGGTAAAACACCGGTATTTTTGAATGAAGCTTGGATGAACAACCCTTATTTTGACATCCGTGTTATGGCTGCCATCAGAGTGGGGCATTGGAAGCTGCTAACGGGACAAAAAGGTGATTAGAAAATTGGTCCTCGGTCTTTTTTTTCTTGGTGATTAATATTTGAGTGCCAAAACTCCGTGTATGATGAATGAAATGAATTGTGGTTTCTTCTACACTTCAGAGTTGGGGGGGGGGGGTCGCTCACTTCAGAGTTGGGAGGGGGTCGCTGGTTCTTTGAGAAACATGATGAAGTTGTATATTGATTTTCAGTCGCTTTGAATATAACCATATTAAAAATTCCAAAGTCAATGTTTCTGTAAGCCGTGTTAAGACCCTGTGAAATATTCGTATGTGATTAGCATATCAAGAGTCGTCTCTTTTCTTACTAGGTGACTCGAAATGGCACTTGCCTGCTGAGATAGGCGGTATCTCCAGGAGTTCCTATAGCAACGAAGTACTTCAGCTGTATCACATCGGAGAAGACCCGGAAGAAAGATACGAGATTTCGTCGCTAAGACCAGACGTAGTCATCAGACTTTTACGACGACTACAATACCATGATAGCACCGCAGTGTTGCCAGTGGAAACCGAGCCTGAGTTCATAGAATCTGACCCTGTGAAACACGATATGGCATGGAGTCCCTGGGCATAGATACCGCGTGTAAATAATGAAATAATACAAGTTTCAAGAACTATTATTTTCGATTTACATTTCCTGGATATATACTTTTTCTTTAAGCGTTTCATTCCAAGATCGTTTTTCTTAACCAATTCCATTAATTCAATACTTTCTTTTTAAATACGGCATATTCATAACATTTAAGTAATGCTTGATTCTGGTGCATTTACCATGGTTGCGCAACTAGTATTTCGCGATCGTCCATCATGTTACCTGTCGTCCAGGGCGCCCTCGCACGGTTGCGTTTGGAAACAAATCCACGATGACGCTAAATTGAATATGGCGTATTGTTTAGACAAGTAGAAAGTATTAAGTTCACGCTAACATTTTAACAGAAAATGTGATTGTCATAATCGATTGGCACATTGCGATAAGTTGTAATAGTTGTTTTCTGTTTTTATTGTCGGCTATCTCTGAATGAAAATATAGAGATAATGGTCAATTCTTGGCTTTAATATACAAACCATTTTTTTTATCATAATTGCAACAAATTATAATAGTTAGAATCTATTGTTTTTCTATTCTAACGTAGTCTTATTTCCTTAACAACAAGGTGTCATTACAAAAATAACGTATGCATTAAATGTTGATAGACACAGGAGACTTTCTTTACGAGTTGAAAAACTGGTCTGTTTTGTCATATAATAAGTAGACATTTTTTTGAAATACTAGTAGTGTCTGTTCTCCATTTCGTGGGGAATTTCTTTTTTATAACAATTAATCATTAACAGCAAGCAACTTGAATGAACTTTGAAAATGTAATTCATATCGTATTTCATTGGCTTGCGGGCATGACGCACCCACTTGTATTATGTTGGATTCTGATCTCTTTCCGGCAAAACAAGATGAATTTTGTATTGTATAAAATCAAATACTGGAAGTTCGAAACTCGTGCAATTGGCACAGTGTTCAGGATTTTGACAATCGCCGACTGAGTGGCGACAGTTATTTAAGAAACGCTAGAAGTTGTGAATGTATATTACTTGACTTGACTTACTTATTTACATGTTACATAAGTTTAGAATCTGTGTACAATAAAACATAACTATATACCAATCATTGGTCAGCTTAGTTGGTCTATATTCTATACCACATAATTTAGGTTTTAAACACATGTCATATTTGGGTGTGACGTCACGTATTCCACGTGACACTGATTTGCAACACCGACACTACAGTTGCGATTGGACTGTGGCTACATATATTTGGTAGAATATTGGGTCACGGTCACGAACGTCATGCAATTGAATCACGAGGAAGCGCATTATGGGTAATATCGCCATTGTTTCTAGAAACACTCCTGCAATTGGTATTTATGGTTACAACATTTTAAATCAATCTGAAATTCACAATAAATCATTACATAATTGACACAATTGATACCACTCTCTGTCACGTGACTCATAGTCCTAGCCATGATGTGTTTATTTCTGTAACTTAAGAATTAGTCTTTTGTTAATCGTCACATTTTTATATGCATATTAGGAACCGATCTCTGTCTGGCTGGATATATGAAACTCATTTTTCTTATTAAAAAATGAGAACTTCTCGATTAAAAACATCCAGTGACCGACCCAACATTTTAACGTTTTTAAGTTGAGCTAAAACATCATTATATATTGTATACAGCTAGTTACTACAAAATCCTTTGCAATAGCTATATGTCGTTTCAGTGCGGAAATTTAGCTAAAGCGCAAACGTATTGTGAGACAATACTGCTTGCATAATAAAATGATACTATATTTTCAGCAACCTTCAAATTTGCATGCATTCATGAACATCAAATTTACATTTTTTTAGAAAAATGGCAAAAATATACGGCTCTCAAATGCGAACTTGCAAAATATTAATATTTTAAAAGTGAAATATATTTTTGAAAAATTTGGTATCAAAGTTTGGTTGCTATGGTAATAACGTTTGATGTTGAAGCCTTGGATACAAAGCAAAACAGAAATAGCATTGTATATATTATGAATAAATATAAAAGAAAGCTTTGTTATATACGCTATATCAGAATTATCATAAAATCGGTCACGTGATTCTCGTAGATATTCTGCATCTCAATATGTCCACGTCGTAGGTGTAAACCACAGCTCGGAAAATCTCTTCTATCGTTGACTACGTATGCAAACACGGTCACTCAAATTAGTTGAGTGGCCATGATATGAATGTTACTGGATGTGATTTAAATAAACTATGATTCACAGCCTTTTTGAAGATTTAAAATATGTTTTGTTGTTCATTTCTGTTTTGTACTATCAATCCTTCCTATACATCCACAGTGTTATGTAATCTCAATGACCAGTACATGTCCTCTTGAAATTTGCATGGAACGTGAATGGGATCTTAATCGCATACCACCGTGGACGGCTAATCACCATTGTATGCCCTTGTCCTATAAATCCTTCATATAATCAAATACAATAAAGTCATTCCCTCATCTTGACAATTTATTTTGCAATTCAAACTGAAACCTGCGGTTTGTGAACTATAAATAAAAATAAAAATTGAATTGAAAATGAGCCTATTCATGATATGCATATGAATAATAAAAAAGACGTCTTCAAACAACGCTATTATAGTAAATATGAAATGTAAGAATCATAATTTATAAATTATGGGTGCATTTTTGTGACAGGAACTAGTTTGGTATCACGTGGTATTGATATTTCGCATTAATATTCAATCGGTTACATTGATGCCGTGTCTAAAATTTGAAAGCACAAATCGTTTAAGAGGTAACCCAACGTTTATTTGTATTTCAAGACACGCACCCACCCATAAGAATGATTTTAAATAAGTACTTTCTAAGTTACTTTCATGTTTTAACAATTTAAACACTTTCGAGAGTTTTTGCAGTAGACAAAAAATCAATGTTTGTAGATTGTTTGTGTACCTGTGCCATACAAGGATATTGTCTTATACTCATGTTCTCAATTTCAGTGAAGGTCTCCCTTCTAGACGTAAAGAAATTCTTCATAATATTGACCCATTTGGAGCTAAATCTCCAATCCTTCAGACGGAACCTTGGATGGTAAATCCCTACTTTGACATCCGTGTTATGGCGGCGATAAGAGTTGGACACTGGAAGCTGCTCACAGGACAAAAAGGTAAAATTTAAATATTTTTAATTTTGATAAGCAGCATCATGAAAAAAAGCATTTATCGAGTTTAATTTGATAATTGACTGCCATAGAGTGCATTATCTGCAAATAACTCCCAGGTACAACTGTTAAAAACGGGTAGAATACAGATATTAGTGAAGTATGTTGACTCCATGGCAACAAGCAAAGCTAAAGACAAAATCATGACACTACTCTCAGCTTGAATTAACGAAACTCGTAATTGGTAAATCAAAATGATATACAAAGTATAAAC